ACCGAGGATATCACGTACGCTTCATAACATATGAAACGGATGTTACAATCGCCTTTTCAGTCTTCTATCATATTATGCAAATATTCGTTCTCTTCAAAATTATAATCGTTTCTGTTTGTTTATCGTCTATAGATCCAATTATTCTCTTTTTCCGAAGAGCAACATTATCCTATATATCAAAATCAGATTTTTTTATAAAAGTAGAAAACAAAAATTATATATAAAAAAGGATTTGTAACATTTTTTAGAAGTTAAAAAAAACTCTTATCCTCCGTTTTTATCTTAATTAGATATTTAAGAACTTAACGATACAACACTTAAAATTGATAAACAAAAAAAATATACAAGGTTACTCATTAGCTTTGCGCATGCTGTTTTGCACTTTGCCTCCTTATAAAATAACACAGAAATGTTTTCAAATTAATTATTTTTTTGCTCCAGATACCACCACAAAACAATCAACTTTCATCCATTTGCACATCGAGCAGTAGTTCTCCAATTATCTCACCGCTGATTATTGTTCCATCGTTACTCATTATATGAAGGCGCGGATCCGCAGCTAATTTTAAACAGCGATTTTAAATTAGTGTTGTCTGCGTAATAACAAAGTTTTCCGCGTTGCTATTGACGGCCATTCGCATCGAATATACCTTTGACAACATCGCGTTAAATATCGCAGATTGTTATACGCGTCAGAAATTAAATCCTCCAGAAAGTTTTTGGGAAAAAGTTTGTCCGATCTAGCGCGATCTCACCCATATTACATTCGCGCGAGTATATAATACGTAATAAAATTCGAGATAATTCAAAGAAGGAACTTGTTATATATTTGTTGAAATGCATTTTTTTACGAGATAATTATATTATTATTGTATGTTAGAAAGTAATAACGGAGAGAGATATAAAGATATCCATCGTATTTATGGAAATTTGAGTATTTTCCCTATAAAATAATAAATGTACGCAAATATATGGTTTTTAATTAAAGAATATTTAATTATACGTGCATTAATCTTCAAATTAAAACTGTTTGTTTATATTAACATATATTTAATCCATATTTTCCTGGCAATCTCTTTCTAGCGCACGTAAATACATGGATGTAATTCCAAAATATGGAGAGAGTTATGGATTTATATTTAAAATGCAGTCAATATTTTATCGATACAATTTGTCACATTGCCACGTTATCGGCTGAATAGGTAGAACTTTTTCTCCAATAAGACGACGTGCATAAAATATTATTATGTATGTTTTTTGAATAATGACGTTATGTGCGTCAGTTTGAAAAATTACATATTTCGATAACAGCCGATAATAAGATAAAACAAGCGCAGCGATTCTACAAATGAATTCGCCGCATGCACGAACTGCTGATTACACACGCCATGTCCAGCATAAATTACAGAATAATTCAATACCATGGACCGAAGTATTAATTTGCAAGCCATGAAGTCCAATGGATCAGTAGAACGAGAACAGCAGGTAAAAAAAGAACTGTGCTTGAACGCCGAAACACTGCAGCGATGACTGCCACAATTATTAATGATATCGAAGAACAGTAGGAAACGATAAAGCGCTTAACGCAGTATTTTTTTGCGATTGCTTCTTTTGCTTTATTTTTACAAAGACTGTTATCACGTGATTTATTAAACTAAAGGCACAAGTGCACGGAGTTGAAGTGCAGGCGTATTTTACGCTACGATGTTTCGCCACGAAGTGGCGTTCTCGAAAAAGATCATGACACGTCGCACTCGATAAATGAATAATCTCGGCGCCTCAAAAAGCACTCATCGCACTTTGCGATGTTTTAAATACGTACGAAAAAAGAAATGCATTCGGCGTTTCCAGGTCAACGAGATAGGTCATCTTCCATGAGAAGCACGAAGCGAACGTACCGATGAACTGCGAATTACAAGCCTCAGCTCAAAGAAAACGCTGACATAAAAACATTAATCTGTTACGAAGCGTACGTCAGTCTTTTTACGGTAAACATTTATCTTACTAGCTCTCACTTTCAAATGAGTGCAATTAAGCGATATGAATATTCTTTGCTTTGTCATTAATTAAAGATGCGTTACAAATATGTGTAATTATAAGTTTAAAAATCGATTGTCACATAAGGCTATTGTATCCTTTGTACAATAATGAGAACGAGAAAAAATATTGAAAATTATACTATGTCACAAGGATTTTGTTTCTCAATATCTGAATGGTAATTTTTATTTATGTATTTTTAGCTCAAAAGAATATAAGATTAAAAAAGTTGTATTTCATTCACACGCACGCACGCGCACACACACACGCACGCGCGCGCACACACACACACACACACACACACACACACACACATACACACACACACGCACGCACGCACGCACGCACGCACGCACACAAATTTTGTAAAATCAAGGACTTTATTTTTGAAAACTTATAAATTAAAAAATCTATAATTTTTTTCTTTTATTTTACGGAGTAAAATCACCAGTTAGGTGTTGAAAAATGGAAATCTTGTAAGTAGGTATAATTTTTTAATTTTTATTATTTTTCCGTGCATTTGTAATGTTACAAATGCACGAAAATGCACGGAAGCAACAGCATGTATAAATAAAGTCAGTTTTAAAAATTAGCTATAGAAGCTTAAATTGAATAATTTTATTAAAGTACAGAAAGATGTAACTGATTTAAGAAGTAATGTCGTACATAAGATTTGTTATAATGACTGTGAGAAGTACGTAGGATAAACTAAGAGACAATTAGAGACGAGAAAAAAAAACGTAGAAATAACCTAAAATTAGATGCATCGAGTCATTCAATAATTACGGAACATATTTTAAATTTCATAATATATTTAAAATTAATCATTTAATTGAGATAACACAAAAATTTTAAATATTGAGACTAATTATAATAAAAGATTGATTTCAGAAATGTTATATATAAAGGAACAAAAAAATGAAATCAATTTACAGAAAGACACTGAAAGACTGGATAATTCTTATTTTTACTTATTAGATTTATTTTCATAACATTAATTTATATCGATTTTTGTGCATATATTATACAACATATATCTGTTTTCAATTTCCATCATTTATCAACAAGCTTTTGCTCTGACAAAAAGCCCTTTCATTGTTTTGGACATATTTGTCCATAGATTCTATCTATAGAATTCATATCTTGAAAAATCAAGTTTTTTAAATATTGACTCTTTTTGTCGATGCAATACTTTCAATTTAATTTAATTTATATTTATACATAGATATACCTTAAGATTTTTATTGATTATTGACTTCATTTATTTTAAGACTTTAAAATCTTATTCAGTCTTATTCCACTTCTTCATCTTTAAACGAAAAAAGACAACTATCATGTAAAGAAGATGTAATTTTTAATAATAATAATTTATTTTATGTAATATATTGTCCAACCTTTGATATGGTTTCATTGATTAGTTTTCTATGTTCTTTCCAATATTTAATTTTATTTATAATAATTTATTAATAATCTATTATAATGTTTTAATCTTATACAATTTCTTTAAATATTGAAATGGCTGAGGTTGTGACTAAATAAAATCGAAACGTTCCATATATTAATGTAAAAAACTCTCATATTTTTTATGTTTTAGTTTAATGTGTTAATAAACTTTCATCTTATTTTTAAGCTCTGACCTATCTTCCTATTCATTTGAATTTTTTTTATGTTAAATATAATATAATATGTAAATATAAATTAATTTGATGAAAAGATTTAAAATTTAAGTATAAATTGAAATTGTTTATTAATTTTAAAGAATGTATGCTTCGCACATCTGTATGTATTAAGTATTTTAATTTGAAAGAGTTTAAGATGTTTCATCATTGGTACACGTTTTATCTCCCTTCGTAATAGCGCTACTAACATACCAAAAAGTATATTGACTTCATTGGGTGAAATAATCTTCTACGGTTCATCGATGATGTCAATCAATGAGCAGGACACCTTCCACCAGAATGAAGATAAATCGCAGCCTATCAGTCTATTAAGACAGATTCGAGATTTCAGGAACCGCCAATGGACCATAAGGAATCCCATCGGCAACATGTTCGTGGCGCGTGCTTGCGCTGATATCACACTCGTCCCCGTCCGATCCGTATTGGCCCTGGCAACTACGGAACAAAGTTCAGCCTATACAGAGTCAACTACATCACTGGACCATCGTAACGATTCACCTCCAGTCTCCGTGAACGCGTCGTCGAGAACGTCAGTCACTACAAGGAGGAGGATTGTTCTCAGAGATCGGAGAGAGAGAGAGAGAGAGAGAGAGAGAGAAAGAGTGAAAGAGAGAGAGAGAGAGAGAGAGAGAGAGAGAGAGAGAGAGATATCCGTCTTCTTCTACATTTATAAAAAGATTATTGTCGACTCCGCAGATTAACATTTGAAATAGAGAAATATAAGAAATATAATATCTAAGAAAAGTACGTAAAGACAAAAAAAGGAAAGAAGTGAGGCCACAATTGACGGCGAGGCCACAATTGAAGCGGTTTGCAATCTCACGAGATATCGACTCGGCGATTATGGTGACCTGCCTGACTTTTACAACTTTGTCAGTAAAATTGATATTGCGCAAATTGCGCGCCAATCCTGTTGGAATTTAGAAAGAAATACAGAAATTGCCAGTTTAAATCGATTTAATTTGAAAGTATTATAAATATCGATAGACCAAAACCACTGAAATATAATTTGAAACATTCGTCTTAAATATATTTACAAAGTCATGAAGATCGATGGTACTTGAAGATTTTTAAGTTCAGGTTACTAATTGAATGTGTGAACTTAGTGTTAAACTCAGTCGACGAAATAATGTCGATAATATCAACGTGTAAATTGTTTTCGATGTTTAAACTCGATGACTAAACTCGAGTAAATCATCAGCGGATTAACGTGGTTAAATCAAAGATTAAAGAAGAAGTCGAATTAAAGAAGAATCAGTTCTAAATCTAGATTGCCGTGGAAAAATGCATCTCTTCATGGAAATCTTTTTTGTTCTTCTCATAGGGAGTATCGCAGCTCAATGGGCGATCAGCCCTTTGAGAATACACACATTGCTACCCCATTTGTCGTCCGAATCGTCAATCAACAAAGAGGCCGACTGCACCGGTTGCGTGCAAAATAAAGTCAATGTGATTGATTCTGACCCGTTGTTGACCGAGTTGAGAGTGGAGTATGTGAAGCAGCAGATTCTGAAGAAGTTGCGACTGTCAAAACCGCCCGAAGTCTCGATGCCACTGTCGACCTTGCCTAAACCTTTAATCAATGGCAATGTGCTTCGATCCAATTTAGAAAGACCGGCAGAGAACTTCTACGGGAAAACCAACCAAGTCGTTGTGTTTCCAAATGAAGGTGAGATTTCACTAATTAAAATAAACAGTACACAAGATTAATGACAGAGTCCGATCAAAATTGAACTGAAACACTCTGCTACATATTAATTTCAACCGAAACTAAAATTCATAAATAGATAATTATAAAGGCCATAGACATGTCTATATATTACATTCTTTTTCTTCATAAATATTATAATTTATTGAAATAATTAAATTTTGGCCGAAATCGAAAACTGTTGTGTGTCAATTTTGGCCAAAAAATGTAAATGCTTCGCTTTCCTAAACATCATAATTTAATTATTGAAATAATAATTACACATATTAAAATTAATATTTACGAAGAAGAGCTATATGATTTCAGTCGAAATTGACACGTGAGTGTTCATTTTCAATTTCGGCAGAAGTTTTGGTCGGATTCTAATTAATGATTATCCTTCCTTTTTATTACAGAATGCAAAGAAATATTATTGAACGGGACAAAAAAAACAATTTTATTGCAATATAAAATCAATTAAGATATGATCCAATGCCAAAAACTATCTTAATAAAAAGAATAAAATTTATGTATGCATAATAAGTACGTATACACACATATGTATATAATTTTTATCCTTGGAAAAATTATGTATTTTAATAAATTTTAAAAAATTGTAATGTTTTAAAATATTATAAAAATATAAAGTTTATTAAGATAGTTTTTGGCATTGATCATACTATTGTACATGTGGATCATACTACATGTCTTAATTGATTTTATATTGCAATAAAATTGTTTTTTTGTCCCGTTCAATAATATTTCTTTGCATTCTGTAATAAAAAGGAAGAATAATCGTTAATTAGAATCCGACCGAAATTTCTGCCGAAATTGAAAACGAATACTCACTACGTGTCAATTTCGACTGAAACCATATAGCTCTTCTTCGTAAATATTAATTTTAATATGTGTAATTATTGTTTCAATAATTAAATTATATATATGT